AAAGAGTCCCATGATAGGAGCAGAGCAGCAGTGAGACCTAACAACAGTCACTTGTGACATCTCCTAGGTATGGTATTATTTTTAAGAAAATTAACAAAACCTTTATTTTATTGGCCTTAGTTTTGTGACTGGAAGATTTGGGGGCTCTGTTTGGTTTCCCTGTAATTGCAGGAACCAGAGTGTGCTGAGAAGCCACTTCCTTATTTATAAGGCATCTCTGCAACAAATTATAAAGAAATTTGTTGATTCGCCTAAACATTTGCAACTAGGAAGTGTTATGTGGTTTTGGAGTTGGTCTTTTTGGTCAGGATTGAAAAAAAAAAGTTGGAAAAGCTTTTGTTTTAATTTTATGCTGCTGTTAAGTTTTCATTTGTCAGTGATGTTTTTATCTTGAAAAAAATTACACAAATTGGCTTCTTCCTTCATTCCAAATGATGAAAAACATGAACAGCTCTACCACTCTTCCACCCTTTCTTTCAGGTTGTGTTAGACCCTGAAGAATGTAATTTACATATGTATCTTTCTAAGTATAAATAATCTATAATTATGGGTGCTTTGGTTTGACTGCCTTATTGATCTTGTGAGTGATATTGGAAATGGCAAGCCACTTTTAACTGCATGTCACTGAAATTCAGACTGCATTTTCTAGTGCCTGGATGTGTTAAATGTCTGTTAAATTGCTTTGTATTTATATCACATGTATGACATACTGATTTTTTTTTTCCTACAAAACTTAGAGCAACATATCCCAAACTTTTCTTGCACTACATCTTGTAAGGGGGGGGTCATCTTTGATTCTATTTTATGAGTAGGATTCAGACAGCACCTACTTTAAAGGGAATTATGGAAGTAGCAGGTGTTGCTTAATATGAATTCTACAGGATATGTTGGAAAGACTTGATAGCAATGAACTCTTTTATTCTTTAACATCTATGAAGAACCAGGAAGCCTGCCACCTTGCGACCATTGGCTTGGCATGGATCAGCAGCAAGTAGTTCTGCAGACTGAGCTGAAAAAATCTTCTTGGGATTAAGAGAAAAAATTACTCTCCTAGTACAGATCAACACCATACCTTATGCCAGGAGTCTGGATTTTCTGATTGCAGCTCAAGACATGCATTATCCAGAACTGAAGCTAAGACATGATAAACAGGAATCTGCCACTGGGAGGAATCTCACCGTGTTTTGGAGGCAGTGTTGTCAGCCAGCAGTATTAGTCATCTGCGGACTTCGTTGTAATGCTGTTTCTTCTAGCACAGGGCAGATGTGCTACCTGGGAGTGTTTAGAAGACTACCCCATAGTCAGAATTGGAATATGCAGTCTATCACGTGCCGATCTACCTCTGTCATGTATTGTACAGTACCTGTGCCCTTAATTATATCTGCCCGAACACGCAGGCATTAGAGCAGTCTGACTTAAACCACACAGCCCCTGAGGTTGGCAACCGCGTTGCATTGATCCGTGGCTGACTCTGTTCACTCTCCATAAACATCCTGACTCGGTGGGTGTCTGTCGCTCTTGGGTTGTGTTCAGTCTGGTGTTCATCTGCGTGCAGAAGTCTGGCTGCTTTAGGAAGAGATGCGAGTCTTGGGACTTCAATTCAGACAGGTGAAGTGAAACTTTTTTGGCAGTTAAGTTACTTTTAAAGCTAAGATGCAAACAGCATAACTGGTTTTACATGATTTTGAGAGAGAGGTGATGGAAAAGACTGTTTTATAATTTAGTTTTAATTCTCTTGTAATCTAGTATTGTGCTGTGTTCATCCCTGTGCCTGTCTTGTTTGGCTGAAGGAAAATCGTGTGATTTGAAATGCAGTTGATTCTTTTGGCTGTCATGCATTTGCTTCTGCCACCTGGTTTCGAACAGCTGAATGAGTTTTTTCAGCTAACCCTTCCATGTGAAACTCTCAGCAACAGAAAATCCTCCCAGTATCACCAGTGTTTCTCACTGCCACTTTGTTTAGTCTGCATTCAAGAATTTCGGAAATACTGGGGTTTTTTAAACCTGTTTCTCTCTGTGGATATATTTTCGGCATTTGATAGCAGGTGGTGAAACAATTCAATGTAACACTTCTTGGTGTTATACGAGAAGAGGAGCTTTAACAAAACAGCACTGCTATTTTCTTCAGTAAACCTCAGAAACCAGGAACACACCTTAATTTTGGCAGAACATTTGCCCTATAAATTAATGTATTCAGGTAAAACAGTTGGTTTACTTTAAAGAAACTCCATCTGCACTTCATAAGTAGATGGTGGGAGGCTTTAACTGTGGAGTACTGTTTAACTGAGACTTCAGTATGAAAAGGGAAAAATGATGGAGTCTTTATTATCCATGAGAAGCAAAAGCCAGAAGGAGATTAAGAAAACTTACATGGAAAGAGAGTAACAGAAGATTAAGCACAGAATCCCATAGTGTTACGTCAACCACCCTCCCGAAAACTGCACTTTAAATACTTATGTAACAAGCTTGAATGTTTTGCTATTTATACATTTAACTTTCCATGCTGACTCCTCACTCTTTACCATAGAGGTGATGTAGACTCTGTTACATGCAGTTCATTGTAGATTATTCAGCTGTTTTTTTACGGGGATGGGACGTGACACAGATTGTTTCATACATGAATGAACCCGTTTCTTCTCTGTCTGAAACGTCCTCTGCCAGCTTTGTTTGAATCTGTAAGGTAACTACAGAGCACGTACTGTATAATTGTTAAGATTGGGTTTGGGGTTCTTTGTCTGGTTTCTCGCTCACGACTGCCTATGGCTGCCAAGTGCCTGATCTTTGTCGCAAGTCTTTTCTGAGAGCTGAGGCTGTGTTTTCTCCTAGGGTTCCTAAGATGAGGTACTCAGTAGGGGGAGGTCAGTTTGGTTTTTGTTACAAATTCTCCTGCTGCAGGAGTCACAGCGCTCATTTTAGTCCCTTTCCAGAAGTGTAGTTATCCAGTACGTGGCTGCCTCTGCTTGGCTCAGACCTGTGCCTGACTACCCCGCATCCCTGATGCTGTTGCATCTCTGCATCTCTTCGGATTTTGAAAGCCGGTCGAGGGATGTAGCCCCCAGCTGGTGTTCAGTGCGTGCAGTTCAAGGACAGGCAGTGTGAGGGCGCAGCGGTCAAGCAAGCACTTTATGCACAGCCCCGTTACTGGAGCTCCCAGCCAGATGCTCCAGACAGGACTGGAGATGTGGGGCTTCACATGTACCATTTTTGGGGGCACGGTTGATGCCTGAACCTCTTACTTTACTTCAGAACTCTTCCTTTTTTTCTTGTTAAAAGTGTTTAGATTTGAATAAGCAGGTAATTAGAGATCTAAAAGAAACCAGGTTTAGAATCCAGCTAATGCAAGACCCTAAACCAGTGCCTGCAAATTTCTTTTGCACATATTTCACACAAATTGAACCTATGTAATGTTTAGAACAGATTGTTGAGATT